GAGAGGTTACCCTTAGACACACAGACACCCACAGACAGTAAACATTTTAGCATGGAGAGCTGTCGCCTAGTAGCGACCAAGCACTTTAATGTGCACACAGACAGAAACTTGGTACATACCACGAGATTTGTTACCATACTGTAACGTCCCACACTTCAGCTGCCAGGCTTATGTAGTTTCAACTAGCAATGGTGACCCATGTTCGGCAGTTTCACTCTTCTGCCTCACTACAGAATCCCAGCTTCGCAAGTCGTGCACTTGCTCTCCGACATCTGTGATCGTGCCTCGTACACTGAGTAGACGGCCTCACGTGTTCACCGACTAGAAACAGGGTTTGGATTGGTAATTTCATTTATTGGAATCTCAAAGCTCGTGACTACAAAGAATTATAACGCTATTGTTAATTCACGCAGTTTACAATTCGCTATAGCATGCACTAAATCCCATTTTATCTTCACTAGCCGTTGCCTGGCGACGGAAATCAATAATGTTCTCTGCTTCCTTGCTTACTAGCTGCCGGTTGGTGACTGTCTCGCGCATAACCCATGGTGGTAAATGTACTCACATTCTCGCTTTCTGGGGCCAGACTGAGCTCACTCATAGCGAGACTCAGACTCAGACTCAGATTTACTTTATGACTGGCTGTTTACGGGTATTAAGTTCGTCTTGGCGCCAAGCCCCCTGAGATCACGACCATTTTTTTTTGCAACTGAACCCTTGAGGTCATAGTCGTTATGTAGCATCCTCTCTGACGAGAAGATGGGTTTGTCACTTATGAATAGGCTTGGCCTTTGTCAAATGTAGGTATCGCACATACAGCGCCGTGATGTTGTTGAAGTCAAGGCAAAGTCAAAGTTACATTACCACCAACAGCCTGTCAGCCAGTCTGTCTTGGCGTCAAGAAACTTCTGGAGCTCAAGACCAGATTTTTGTTACTGTCAGACAGATGTGGGTTTGTTGATGTGTGGCGCCCTGTCTGACGAGAGGACTGGTCTGTCGTCTACAGTTTCTGCAGTCATTCTTGGGTCCTAGTCGCGCGGGATTCATGACCACATTTTACTGTCTCAGATACGAGACTCGCCAAACCTGGAGGACCAGGTTCCCGTATTTATATCCCTCAGGAACAAGACGGACCAGGCACTGGGTTCCCTTTTAATCGCCTCCTACGACTCACAGGGCTTCTGTGGAGGTATTCGAACACGCCTCCACGCGGGGACCTAATGTCAAGATCAAAGTTTTTACGAATAGTGTTGTTGACGTGTTTAACAGCGTTGAGTAGCAATGGATGTCTTTCCTAGGTCCGCTATTCAGCTTTCAACTGTCTGTCACAGTATGTCACAAAATGTAATCTAGTAAATCTTCAATTGTGACGTAACGGTCCGCGTCCCTGTCTGACGATAACACATCCTCAAAACCACGGCAATGTACAGACCAGCGTTCTGCAAATTTAAGGATCTGACTTTTACCGGAAATGCATCACAGCTCTAAATTACGGTATTCTTGGATATGAATCCACATACACGTATTTTGATGTATCGGACCGTATCGGACAAGCAAGTTGCATCCAATCTCATGTAGAAAGAATCACTCTTATATCCTGAAGGTGGAGACAGTAGGCTGATACAAAATATTGGTACATATCCACCAAACTATACGGCGACACATAACTTATTCATAATGTTCACCGTCGAGAGATTTTGAATATCTTGTTCTGTATGCTATCTAATTTAAATCTAGAAGGCCCTTGGAGTTGATACGATGTCATTGAAATTTGAGGTTTGAAATTCGCGAAAGTAATATAACACTGTCATAGTTTATGTGTGACTTAGACGCGGATCGATTGGATAGTGGTTTATTGCCAAACTCGGAACTGCCAATAGTTACGGCGCTATCGCACACGCTATATCTTCTCAGACTTCACTAGTCGTATCCTGGCAACGGATTTTAACAGAGTAATTGCAACAGTCTCACTGTAATTACAGCACATATAACGTCTTATTTGCACAGCCGCACTCTTTCAACTAAGTACTATCTCCACAACCGGACTTTCAACTCTTAACTAACTGTAGCGCCATCTTCTTCTCTGCCTCCCTTGCAGAAGTCAGCTGAACTGCCAACACTCAACTAACTGGATTGCCCCAATTCTTTCTTCTTTAAAACAACTTTACAAGGACCGAACAGAAAACACCTTTTCAACAGTAAACTTTTATTGTAGAGGCGTGTTTGCCTGTGTTAGTCTGCCGTCTCGCTGTTTGCTTCGAGGTCTTTGTCTAGCAACGGATCTATACATCACAATATTAAAAAGTCATTTCAAACCTCACCAGAACACAAAGCGTCTCCATTATGAAGAAGAACTAGGCCGCGCCATAGCTCAAGCGGTTAGTCGCTGGCTTCCCACCGCGGCGGCCCGGGTTCGATCCCGGGTCTGGTCAAGTGGGATTTGTGGTGGACAAAGTGGCGCTGGGGCAGGTTTTCTCCGACTACTTCGGTTTCCCCTGCCAATCTTCATTCCACTAATTGCTACACAATCACCCTCACCTATCATCTGGGGCTGGTACAATAGGCCAGAAGTGGCCGCAGTACAAGGAACTTAGTCCCACCCCACTAGCAATAAAAAAAGAACTTATTAAAGTTTTTCAGGAAATAATTTATATATCTTTCTCGGAGCACACGAAACACATAAACACACCCTGTAGAAGAAATGTGGAACTCCTCAATGTAAGTTAATACTCCGGGTTCGACTGCCGGCGGAGGTAAGGAATTCTTATCTTCTCTACATTGTCCAGACCGGCTCTGGGGGCAACTTAGCCGTCTAATGCAGTCGGTGGCAGGGGCTGATACCCTGACAGTAATGTGGCAGTGCCGTAAAACTGGCTACTCACCTCCGTCTAGTGCCAAACCTCCACTCCCTCATACGCTTTCATGGCGTGGTGCGTAATTAATTAATCCCAAGAATGACCTTATCTTTAATACTTGTAGTCGATACTATAATCTGAAGATTTCTTGAACAGCCTGCAAATCATCTCTAATTTGATTCAGCGCAGGACGTTGGAAATGTAATGTCATAATAGATGCCCCCAAAATCTGCACTTTTGTTTGTGACTAGAATAGAAAGAAGCTACAGGCCAGCGAAGCAATATACAGAATGTCCCAGGAGGAAAGGTCAATATTCTGGGACGCCACAGTATCGGTCATTCTAAGCAGAGAACTGTATATGTACATGTGTCCTATTCCGAACGGTTTCCGAGATACAGCTATTTCACTGCACAGTTCCAAAACTGTTGATAAGAAAGAGATATCACGTACTGTTTCTAATGCCGGTATTTATTGTTCAAGTGACAAAGTTGGCACAGTTTATCTAGTACAATACATTTCCGAAAATTCCACCGTCAACATCAACCCTTTAATTCCCAGTGGTCACTATATGTACCACCTTCCTTAACATATCAAAACTTCAGTATTCTGCACACGGATTGTATTCATGTGGTCCGTATAGTTCTCACAGTAAAGAGCAACTGTTTCCTTAAAAAGTATTAACCGGTTGGGCTCTGTAGCGGAGACGTGCTGTGTTTCCTCTGAGGTACGAACTGGGTTGTCATATATTAGTCAGATGAAATTTAGTCTTTAAAAGGTTAATGCACTTTGAATCTCGTGTACGGACATGGCGTGTTGGTCGTCTGTACAGTGTACAGTGTACTGAACAGTGAAACAACTCTATCTCGGGAACCGTTCGGAATAGGACGCATGTACATATACTGCTTTTGCTTACAATGGCCGATACTATGACCTCCCAGAATACTGACCCTTTCCTTCCGGGACACCCTGCGTAGGGCTATATCCCTCCAATTTCTTTGAGGTCAGTAATGACTCTCTGAACTACGGTATTTGTTATAACATTAAGAAACACGAAAATACATCCTCAAAATTCATTCGTTGAGTTTGTGTGATTCTCAAAACGAACAGTGACCGAATTCTACATTCTATATTTTATGATGTAATACAGTAAAGTCTGATGGAAAAAAATTTCCAACGTTTCGGAGGCACGCACTGTCCCCATCTTCATGGTCGAAGAATGTGTCACGCAAACGACCATCACGAATCAGCCAGAATGTTGAGGTCTGGTCTTCACAGTCAAGGCCATGAATACCTCAATTCTGCCAAAGAGTGGTTCTTTCCTTAAACGTATCCAACCAATCGGCCTTTGAAATGGTAGATTCATTAAGGCAAAACCCACTTTTAAAGTATTATTTACAAGAGTTTCGTGTTATGGAATGTTAATAACAGTCACTGAAGTATTTTAAGGCCGTGAATTTATTTCTAATTTTCGCTTCCAGCGTTTTAATCTCTGTGTGTCGCCATAGAGTCACGGCACGAATATTTGAGGTTATGTTAGCAAACGGAGGAATGTGCTCGTGGTCGTTGAAAATTTCCAACATGGCGACTACGCGGAGCTTTGGGGTTATGTTAGCTAAAGCAAGGACGCATTAACCTGGGTCTACTCGTGTCTTGTCTTGAAAAGTACGAACTGTCGAGATTCGGTGAGCTTGGGGAGGCTTCTAGCTGCTTGTTGGAGCGAAACAGTTCGTCTGGGAGCGGAGCGGCTTAGTGAAGCACGTAAAATCGTCGAGAGCCACTGACCGGAATTCAGTGGACAACTGACTACAGCGGAAATAATGAATAGCGCCCAATGGCACTCACACAAGCACAAGTTGAGTGCGGTAAGTGTGTCCTTCATTTCTGTACCCCATCATCATCTCTGTGATCCCTTTGGACGCCGTATGACCCCGTAACCTGAGATCCCACCCCTGTACAGTCAAACCACTCTCTCTTACTCCCCCATGGCTTGTATTGTGTGATCCTAGCTGAAAATCAATGAAGTGTCAAACTGCGCAAGCGCGGGGTTCAGGCACGCCCTAGTGGTGGCAGAAACAGGCTCAACAGCAAGAGATGGTGGAGGCGGCGGCGTCGACGGCGACGACGACGGAGGCGGCTCAGTGAATGGTAACGGAGCGCCTGGACGCGAGAGAATGAGTGTTGTGGCAAAGTTGTAACTACCGAGGCGATGTGGCTGGCGTGAGGTTTCTGTTTGGCGGGACACGATAGGATGGTGGGGTCATGAGGATGTGCAGCCGCGGTTCGGCCGCCAAAAGCAAATCACCAGCCCTGGGACAGCGATCATCATCGTCCACGATCACCAGGTAACACTAACCCAGTTAAAAAAAAAAAGCTTGTATTGACTTTTAGTTGGTCGGCAGAAGGCCCGGTCACACAATAGCACTTGTAATCATCAATCCCAGGATGGACGGACGGACGGGCTGGCTGGCTGGATCGATCAGCAGCAGTTGGGGTTCCGCAGGGCTCGCTCGATAAATTCAGCTTCCTCATGGACCACTCGTGTAGTCACATTCTGCGTGATGCAAAGCATTGTTTATACCGAGACACGAGATTATGCGGTCCCTCCGTCAAGGAGTGTTCAGGCACTAACAGACTGAACGTCTCTGCGTTTCGTGTGATTTGAGAGCAATGTAAACATGCATTGCAGTGATCTGCCACTTTTCGGGACGCTATTACTTCTATGAAATCATATTAGACCTATTAGTTCCCCCCCCCACAATTTCTTAAGTACTGAGTTCGAGTCCCGGTATGTTCAAAAATTTTCTCTTCTGAAGTTCTTCAAGACCGGTTGTGAGACCCATCCAGATCCTATGCAATAGGTAATGAGGGGGGCTATTTCCCAGGGGATAAAACGGCCGGAGAGTGAAGCTGAATACTCAGTTCCAACTAATACCAAAGTAAAGAAACCCCGAATCTATACATCCACTCCCCTATAAGTTTTGTGGCGCAGTGCTTAATTAGTTAAACACAAGAACTTAAACAACGGTGCAACAACTTAATATAGTGTTTAACGTCGACTGTATGTGTACAGTGAATTGAAATAGAACACGGCCAGTTCCTTTGTTATGTATTTCAAGCCATTTTTGCCAGAGTTTCTGCCGGGAGAAAGCAACATTGATAATATACAGATACTAACAGAATTTTTTACTTAGAAAGGGGGGCTTCTGAGGTGTTCTGCATAGTTGTCCACTGTTGCAGACAACATCATAACCCAGTGCACTACGAGTCTTCACAGTAATGAAGATTTCCAATCCAAAGTTTTCTTTTGAAGGCCGTGTATAATTCATAAGTCATAAAGTCCAAAATTCGATAAGACGTTCACCAAGTACTCGCCTCTATTGCGTGTGAGGAAATAAACATTCTTCGCCTACGTTATTATCCAGGGACTACCTAAAAAAAATTGAAAAATTAATCACGAAAGCCTCAGATATGATACCCACTGACCAGGTCCTTTCATTATTATGATTATTTAACGAAACTTTAGAAGCCCAGACTGTGTAGAATTGATTTCTAGATGATTGTTGGATAACGAATCGGAAAATATTTTAAAGCGTTCGATGGTACGTAACCTGTGGTACACCGGCCGCATTTGCCTGGTCAGATTGACGGAAAGCACGAAATGCCTCAGGCAAGTCCCGGTCGAGATTCGAACTGTGCACCCCCAAAATACATTCCAGAAGCGGGGAACACGTTAAGAATTTGTAAGATTTGAGGCTTTCACGGTGGTGACTATGAAGAAAGCAGTCTTCTGGGATTTGGCACCGTGTGTATGTGGTGTTAACCGACGTTTCGGGGGAACGTATCACCTCCATCAGCAGACTAGTCTGCTTTTACCGGTCTCTTCGCTTGCGGATTTCTTATATTTTTCCTTCTGCCCTGAAGATGGAGGCGATACGTTCCTCCGAAACGTCGGTTAACACCACATACACACGGTGCCAAATCCCAGAAGACTGCTTTCTTCATGTTAAGAATTTATTTCTTTAGCGACACTATCCTTAGTTGGGACTACACGTGTGGAAATACACATGATCCTTTAAAGAAGTCTTGCAACAAATATAGAAGGATTCAGCCGTGGACTAATATGAAGTACTATCCCAGACGCTTGTCGCAAGGAACTGAGAGCAGACATGGAAATTCTCAGCCAGGATACAGATCTCCCGCATATGAATCCTTACTGATACACGGCTGACAACGACGGTCGGAACCAGGTCTGCAAACAAACATCGAACTATGTACCTGCCGACGAGGTAAATAAGTGTGGAAATTCAAATTAATTTTCGTTACGTCCACACGCGTAGGGAATCAACACCATGACTTCAATATCCATATAAACTGAATCATAACTTAAAATTATTACCGTACGGATAAAGGTGAGCCGGGATAGCGCAGTCAGCATAGCGACTGCGTACGGGCTGGACGACTGAGGGGTCGGAGTTCGAGTCCCGGTATTGTCAGAATTTTCTAGTGCCGAGGTCAAGAAAATGTTGATCTGCACATCCACCCCCCCATACGTCTGCTTGGTGTAGTACTTAATTAGTTAACTTTAAGTTACTGTTAAGGCGCGTCCACATTACTCGTGCTCGTGCGTCAGAAGCTTACTGCTGTGAAGAAATGCGAAGGCTTTGTATGCTAACCAGTTTGGGCGTCCACTTCGTCAGCTCGAGAGCCTGATTTTCCGGCAGCAGTAAGCTTCTGACGCACGAGCACGAGTAATGTGGACGCGCCTTAAAGATAAAGATCACGTGAGATGTTGCAATTGATTTAAACCATTAAAGCATAAAGGTAATTATAAGTAAAAAAGATAAAGCCGTTCCTGTAACAGGCCGTGGAGGCCCATAGGCTTGTGAGACGTCGAGGCTCCCACATTTTCTAGGCTCACGAATAGCGGTAAGGTTGACAGCCTTACGCACCGGCCAGCAGCCCTTTACTCCCAGGAAGTTTCCTGGTACTCATTTATGTTAGAGACTGAGTCAACCCCAGGGCCATAATGCGACTCGAAGAATTAGGTTAATTGAAAGAAATCAATGACCTCATCGGGAATCGAACCCGCGACCATCCGGCTTGTAGCATACTGCCTGAACCAACTACGCTACCGCGTGCCCGTGGTAAATATATATACCACCTAATTTAACATTAATAAACCGTAAAATTCTCCTACAGAATGTCTTTTATTTGTTTCATATGATTCTTAGAATAGAGAAGGATTATTTCCCTAAACAGTTGTCCTCTATAATAGATACGTAGTGAATTTACGGGAAGATAAGAACTGAACTCTTAAATGCTGTTCAGGTTAAGTTCATATTGAAAAGGATTAACAGTACTACAGCATGTGGGCCTCAAGGGACCGACATAATTAGCGCCCGTGGGACTACTAACAAACAAAAGAAGGAAGAATTTCGAAAAATGTTACGTAGCATGAAATTAAATAAGTGAATACAAAGATTACATTGATTTACAGACATAAGAACTGCACATTCTTCTCTTTTATAAATGTAACGGGGTAATTTAGTTGTCTTATCAAAATGTCGCCACGTGTACGGAGTGTGTTGTGGCCTTCATCTCTCGCCGACGGGCTTCAGCCTTTTCCTGATTTACATTCACGCGGGAGCCACGACAGTCTATCTGGGTTTTCAGGTCGGCCATTTCCTTCAGTTTGGCGTCCTTCATTTCGTCTTACAGTCTTTCCTGACTGGCATCCATCGTTTCTTGATTGGCTTTCATTTCAGCTTTCATTTCGCCCACCAATTCTTCTTGGAAGGGCCAACAGGCGTTGCAGTATTTGCTCCATCTTGCCTCAGTTCGACTGAATCAGTCCCGTCCCAACCAATTAATCCGGTCAATCAAAAGCTGACAGCACTGTCAATTGTATGAGTGACTACAAACGGAGTTTAGCTTATTAATCGGATTTATTTTACTCTTACAGATCCGTGACTGAGTAATTATAACCGTTTCACTAATTCACACACTTTACAGTTCACTAGTGTACACACTTAAATCTTCTCAGCCTGCTGTGTCTTCACCAGTAACGGCTTTCAACAGCAGACGTTCCCCTTCCTCTGGGTTCCCGAACTATCCCCGTACCTCAGGTACCAGTTTCTAACAGCGACAGCTCACAATGACTGAGCCGCAGTAGTTCTCTAACTCAGTCTGTCCACTATGTCTTCGCTAACTAACCAACAGACTCACTCACAAAATCTAGTTCCTAACTTGTCCTGCTTATAACGGACAGCGTAGAAAACAGCACTTCTCATTATTGTTGTTTCCTCTTGTTGTGAAATTGTTGCATTGGTGTCTGTTGGTGGAGCCGTTACCTAGCAACGGATGTTGTATAGTCGTTTATTTCGCTGTCGTTGCCTTGCAACGGGTCCACAAATCAAAATAAATAAACATATCTTTTTAAGTGTTTTTTCTCAATGATATACTTTCTATCTAACTCTGAATAAGGATCTTAGATTGAAAATGTTTTAAGAAATTACCACGGAAAATATTTTTTACTAATATAAATTACGAAACTGCGCAAGGAATAGAACTGTACCTCACAAGCTGTAAATTTTATATACATTTCCCAATTTCATTTACTGAAGGGGTTTAATTCTGACTGCACTTATAGAACTTATGAAGAAATTAACAGTTATACAGTGTAAGCACGAAAACTTGCTGTGAAGAACCATGTTCCAAATCAAGCCAGAATATGCATGTGATTATACGAATTGCATTAAGCCAGCTAAGATTAATTTACAATGGAGTCTGTTTTCGTTGTTAAACTATTAAAACATGGGATTTTATAATACGGGAATATTAAATAATTTCTCTTAATACTTTAATTGCAAGGAACAAAAATCTAAACAATATTATACGCCTGATCAACCGAAAAGACCACTGGAAACTGTTGCCACAAGACCTACAGCTCTTAAACTCGGTTAATTAATTTAATTTGAAGCGCCTTTGAAGTTGACTCGGACGTACTACATCTGCTGCTTTGGCCTGTGAAGGAAGGCCCAGAAATCTGACATGAAGACTAAATCTGCCAGTTTTATCACGTTACTTCTAACGTCTCATATCACAGAGAAACAAATATCCACAGAAACAGGGCCTATATCTTTCCGAACGCCTCGGAACTTACAATTTCCTTCTGAATACGCCTACACGCATGCAAGGAATTGACATGATTTTACCAGTGACACGTTTATAAGTTATCGAATTATTTCACAAACGAAGATTTTTTCCTTTATTTCGTAATACTGTAACATAATTTGTATCAACAAGACATTGCTAGCTTATTCCACATATGATATTAAGTGAA